AACGCGTTTAGCGTTTTAATCTCTCTCTCTCTCTCTCTCTCTCTTGGGAAGAATTGTACATATAGACGTGCGTATTTATTTGTGTGCGTTTATATTTACATGTTTCTTTTTTCTTTTTTTAAATTAAAAAATTTCAATTGTTAAACAATTGAAGTTGTCTCTTCTTTGACCTGAAAGTTTTAAATTCCGCAAAATTTGATAAAGTTATCAACTCTTTTTTTCTTTTTTTCTTTCTCTCTCTCTCAATCTCTCTAATATTTATTTATTTACTATAATGTACACCTTTGAATAAAAGAAATTGTCAGAAGCACTAAAAGTGCGGTCCAAAGTTCTGATACCTGTGCGACGAAAGTTAGAAAGGAAAGAAAAGAGATTAGCTGCCGGAACCGAGAAGTCTCGTGCGGGTCGTTCCAACTGTATTTCCGGCAGCATCCCAGCGCGGCAGTTTAAGCCGCATAATTAAAAAGATTTAACGACTGCTGCGAGAAAGGAGACTGCTGTGGTCATAGGAGAAAAAGCCCGACCGTACCAGACTGTGTAACGTCGTAGGTCGGCTGACATCGGCCGATCGCGCAGCGAGCGCGCGACTCGTGCGCACCAGGTAAGCGTCCGCACGAGTGCATCACACAGACCGCGCTATAAATAGATCGCGAAGGTCAGGGGAATCAGCAGTTTTCATGCAAATGCGCCGTCGATACAATAATATGTGGCTTCTTTCCCGTCGTGAGTCGATCGCGCCGCCGTCCCGGTTACCAAGGGCCGCCGTTGTAACGCGGCTTCTTGACATCGTGTTTCCTCATGATGTCCGTTTAGAGAAACACGAGATTTTCTTCTTACAAATCCGAGAGAGTTTCAGTATTATATTCTCTAATATTTCTCTTTTTTTTTTTTTTTTAATTATTTTTCTTTTGTATTGCATTTTGCGCCAAGCACACACAATAGTGAAAAGAAATTATTACATCGTTACTTATGAAAAACAAACCAACGCTCACTAACTTGCCAATATTTGCTTCACACGTCATGATTCCCCGAAATATTTAAATGAGACTCGTTTTAAGAGGAAGAGAAATATTGCGAATTAATAATTTATCGAGTATTTCTTTTGTTATTTAATATAGACGCGCGCGCGCGCGCGCGTTTTGTGTAGTTTTTCACTCGTGTTGAAATGTTGCGCAATAACGCGAGTGAAATGCCGTGACATTGGAAGTTACGTCCGAGAACGGTCTTCCGATTTGTAAATCGTCATTGCCTCGCGTGCGAGTAGAATCAACAGGTGGTTGCATGCGGCGTCATATGTTCAAGAACATATATATGTGTATTCTTGAACGTACACGAGTAGGGTTGATACGACAAAAGTTTCTGCTGTAATCACGGTACTTCACACCGCCTTGTTGCAAGAAATCTGCGCTGCTGCATAGGTAGGTATTCAAGTCGCCGTCCACCTACGGTAATCCAACAGACCTAAATAGACTTGAACGCAAGGATGATCGCGCACACAACCGGATTGAAATCACCTGAAAGACTCGAACACTTTCGATATCCTTGCGTCACGAATCCGAATATAATACTTTTCGCAAAAGTTTGATAATGTACAGTTTCGTCAATCGATTGGCAAATTAATGCGAACGCGTTAAATTTCAAGCAGTTCGCACAATTTAATGTTTCATTCAAAGCAACACAGTACGCGACGCGATTTATCTAAGCTTGTTTGTTTTGACATCTCTTTGCTTGTTACCTCTTTCAACGAGATAATTGCCCCCGGCATTAATTTGCTCGCGTAATTATTCGCGTAATGATTTTTGCCGCGAAAACTAGATGACGATACACGCTTATTGTGTATGTCTGCCTGTTGTTCCTCGCGTTTTACGAGAAGGATCTTCTATAGTTCTTCGTTTAATTCGATTGTTTCTATTATAGTTACCGAATCGACGATATCGAACATTTATTGCGCATGACTCGTGCGCTCGTACACAAGTTTTATTTCATTAATTTCCAATTTATTAACAATGAGTTAAAAGTGGAACTAAAATAACAACCTCGAACTGCAACACGTCCGCGCGATATCTTTTCAATCCTGTTTTTCCTCACCCATCGCTTGCGTGTGTCTTTTTTTACACATTTCTCTTTTTCTCTCGTAAATTAACATAAATTAGTTTGGAGGTCTTTCTCGACGTTCGAGTGCCACTTTCCCGTATATTCGGTCAGAAAATATCTTTCAAGTCGGGCGTCTCTTAAAAGCCGCAAGTATCGTCGGAACGTCCTCCCGCGCGTGTGTGTGTGTGTGTCGTAATTCCATCGGCCAACCGGTGGCTTCGACTTAATCGCGAAAAAGATTTATATATCGACGGATTGTCCCGATGAAGGCGGCGATCGAGCCTCGTAAAACTTTCCATATAACGATATATAACCGCTGGGACTTTTCCGCGATCGTCGGGCCGCTTTATTTCACGAGAGGGACCTCTGACATCGGGACGACTTTCACGAAAACATAAAATGTCGCGAACGATGTCATCCGACGACGTTGATTCTCGACGTGATCTCACGCCGATTACGCGATTAAGTGTCGGTAAATTGAAAATTATATTCGACGAAAAAAAACAAGTACACGCGCAGCAAATTCGACGTACTTGATACGATCAAAGTTTCGTATTTTTTTTTTTTTTTTTGCAAAAATTAAAAACAAATATTGAAAAATACGTGTTTAAATTTCTAAATGTAAATGCATCAACATCGAGAAGATGAGAGAGAATTTTAGGACCTTTGTCGCACAATTTTTTAAATCTGTAAACGCGTGTTAAAACGCTTGCAAACAATATTAATTCGTAATAAAGATTAATGCGTTTTTAGCAGTGTCGTAAATATTCTCTCAATATGTATTCAAGATGTCTGTATTTGATACTGTCCGGTAACGATAACGGACATACGATATTTGAAATGTCACTTTCAATTTGCACAGCGTGTAAATTGAAAGCTTGTGTCGCAACACACACGCAAATCGCTTGACAAAGCGTGCGCGTGCTCAACTGGTCGTGCCAATCCGTCTCGGTGGAAACGCGAGATTATTTTGCACAGATTTACGCTTAAGAACGCCGCTAACTTTAATCGGCGGCGCGGCAAGAAAGTAAAGAGGAAACGCGAAACTTAGAAGCGCGGCAGCGGTCAAAAGTAAAATCACCAAGTTGTACGCGCGTACGTACGGAGTATGTGGCATGAGCGTGAGCGTGTGTGTGTACGTTCGTGCGTGCGTAAAGAAACTGCAGGTGGTGCGACTACACGATTGGTATTACCGGAATGTTGTTAAGTAGCTGGATTCGTGACTTTGCGGCGAACGTTGTCGCGCATTGCTGAAGAGACGTACGTACCTCTAACGTGTCTAGTTTCTCGACTTTCCGGCTTGCGCACGCAAATTCTTTTTCTTTTAAAAAAAAAACGCACGAATAACGGTTTATTAATTTTCATTTATTTTGTTTGTATAAATCCACGATTGCAACACTCAAAATAGTTGCTGTAGAGTGCGCTTGTATAGTGGGTTTGGGAAGCCGCATTACAAACGCACGATAAACTCGTTTATCTTTCGTGTGTCTCCGACTATCGCGCGCGGTTAACGAATATATTATTACAAATGTATGAAAGTTCTGTGAGAATAAACGTATTCCGTGTTGTCACAATCACGTTGAAACAATCTCATTGCACTCTCATGCGCAATACGTTCTTTTTCACGATTAACGGATTTTTAATAGCATTTCCAATGCCAATGATGACTAAGCCGCGAGATTTTTAAAAAGTTTCCTCTAAACATTGTTGTGCAATCAGATTTCTGAGAAAATAAACAGTTTACGGAACAATCTAATTAATATTAATACATTTTTTTTTTTTTTTTTTTTAACAAGTCTGCGAGTTTCAAGATACGTGCTCGTCGGTCGATTGCACGATTATTATAAGCTGCTATTCTTAACTTGTACATAAGTTTCCGGCAGTTCTATAGATTAAATCTAGTCGCAATTAAAGTTACATAAGTTCAATATGAAGATCACCAGCACAAAGAAACGTTTTCCAATGCGCGTAACTTCTCGAAGTAAAATGTTTTTTTTTTTTGTCATAGTTGGCATTTCATTTATTTCTCATTTCAGATTAGTGAAAAGTTCCTCGACACCTTCTCACTTCCTCTATTTATTTTTTTTCGTAGTAACGTAGTCTCTCTCTCTCTCTCTCTCTCTCTCTCTGTTACGAGTGTAATTTTGCGAATTAAAGATCATCTCAAAACGGAAAGAGTTGATGACACGCTTCTTTCGCGGCAGCGTATCAAATCACGCGCAGCGCGCGAATCGGGACCGCGTTGCGTGTTCCGCTGTGATACGTTGCACCGCATATATTGTAACACGCACGCACGTACATGCGCACGCACGCCCCACACACGGTGCACACGGACCCGTAATTATATTGTCACGCCGCGGGTGTTCAATTTGTCGAGCGCACCTCCGCCGCCTCCTCCACCTTCGTTAAGCACCACCGTTCTCTCGCGTCTCTTTCGACTTTGCCTTCGCCTTGTCTTGTCAGTGCCCTACAACCCCGCAGTTCGTTCTCACGCTGCCGCCGAGAACCGTTTTCAACCGATTTCTCTGTTCGTGAAGCTCTCACGAAATCACCGATGGCTTTGCGTTCGTCCACAACAGGTCTGTACTTGCTCGATAATAACGTCTTTAACTTACGAGTTGCCGCACGATTTTCTCTTTGGCGCAATTAAAACCGGAGAAAGAGTTCTAAAATTGCTCTCTCCTTCTTTCTCTTTTTCTCGCGTTTTTTAAACTACTTCTGTTGAAACTTATTCCGAAACTATTATTATACGTCAAGAGACGCCGCGCAAAGGAAATACTTAAATAATCGCGAGAACCTCTTTGTTATTAACTTTAACAGAGAGTCATAGCGAGGAATAACACTCAAAAAGCAAAAAAAAAAAAACATTCAAAAAAACTGGTAAAAAATAGTTGTTGTTTACTTACATAACTAATCATAGGTATGTTGCGAGACTGAGCTACTATGGCCTCGACGTAGCAGGAACCTTCTGGTCCAAAGAAGGCCACAACCCCGTCGCAGATCATGTCGATCATGGCTTTAGTAGCTTCGACAGTCTCTCCCCTCGTGTCGCTCCATCGCATCAGCAGCTTTACGTTTGGCAGAATGGTCGAACTGTTGTTGATCTGAAATGGATCCATCGCGCACAATTAATTTTAAAGCGTGAAAATAAATGCGCGATTAAAATATGAAGAGAGAATTTTTTTCGGAATTGCTCTCTTCTGCGATAAAAATAGATTCTTAATTAATTAACTTGTATATTTGCATTAATTACACATTGGTCTTATTAACGTTAAACGAAAGTCAATTGTTTTTAAATTGTCTGCGATTTTAATTTAATTTCGATTAAATTAAATAATTAGCATATACTCAGACTATTTACGTGTAATTATACATCACAGAGGAGGTTTATATTGTACATATAATATTTATAAAATATATTTTCATAAAATTTTTATGTTATTAATAAATTAAATTTTTATGTTATTAATTAAATTTTTATGTTACGTATAGAAAAAAGAGAGACACACATCAATACACACACTTGTACAAAATCACATTAATTCTACGGTTTGTAATAAAGTCATTTTCTTTACGGCACAATAAGAATCCTGTTGTTTGCGATAGCATGGCGATCGATTTAAAGTTTATCGCTTCTCTATGGCGAAGTTTATCGGTCCGCGCCACAATAAATGCGCGAGAGTATGGATCCGTGATGCACACGTGTTCGCCGCAACAGCTAAACTCGATGCATTTACTCGGTATTAGTGTCCCGTTTTATTTCTTAATGAGCATTCCACAACTCACCCGGCATATCCGGTTCGCGTTTTGCATTATTCGCTCGGTTGTTATGCAAATCTTGAATTCCAGCAAACAATACTTTTCCGAGCGGAGTTTACTTCGCCAATTTACATGCTTGGCTATGCGATGCTGAAATTATAACTGTCAGCGGCGTGCTTGTTGGAAAAGTTCGCACGTGCAATAAATCCTTTTGCGGGCGTCCCGCCGCCGCCGCCGTTTCGCCGCTTTGTATTGTGCACCAGCATTTAGAGGCCAGACCCCGATTGTGTATCAAGCTATTCCCACACAGTCAGCGCAAGAATAAATATATTTCAGGTATGCCGTATGTGCGCGCGGCGGACAGCCCAGGTCGCGATACATATGACGGCGTATGAAAGTTAGCGATTAATGTTAACGGAACTTCGCGGAGCGCGGCGCAAGAGCTGTGCTTTCCTCAAAAGAATGTATCTGATTAACTCACGGGAGCAATATATCTTATCGAACGCCTTTCTTTTCGCACACGCACGTAGTTGCGTTAATTAGTTTTGCTTAAACGCGCTAAAAGAACACGCGAACTTAAGATACATTGTGTTGTTTCGTTCAAGATTTTAACAATATCTTTGTATCGTTAATTACAAGAAGATCAATAATATTATATATTACGTGTGCAAGTACATGCGTATTTTCTCTCTGTGTACGTGTGTGTGTTTGTGTGAAATGCTTTACGTAATGAAAATAAATAATCCAGAGCCATCGAATAGATATGCGTGAAGTGTACGCGAACGTGCGCGGCATTCGAGAGAAAAAAAAAACAAATAAGAAACTCGTTGTTCCCCCATATCTATAAATCGCTTCGGGATTCCATTCAGCCGATCGACAATCAATTCAGTCCATTTTATCGCGATATCTCGCATTTCGATCCAGCGGCGTTGAGCGCGACAGGCGAAAAATTCGCGGTATTCCGGCTGTGCAGTGAAAGTTCGGCGTTCCTTCTCTCTCTCTTAATTCGCCGTTCATTAAACTTCCTTTATCAAGAGCCGGGTCAACAGTAGCAAAGTTGGCGAAGCATTATCATTTATTATAGAGAAACTGTTGTGCAATTTCACACGCGTGTTAACAATTCTCCCCGATATAATGATCACGCGCTCGAACAGCCAAGTGCACGGATCGCGCGCGCGGCCCATTGTGCGCGAATGCGTGTTATGAGAAATTGCCAATTAACGCCCGGTTTTATTTACAAATATATCGAACCAAGTGGAAGTTTACATTGTGGGAGTGCGTATGCAAATTTTATTATTATTTTTTTTATGTTTTGGTTTTTTTTTTTATCTGCCCGCGGGCGAAGCAAACTGGTGCTGCTGTTGCACCTGCACCTGCGTTCGCAATTGCGGCAAGCAAGCAAGTGTTAAGCGCGATTCACAACTGCGCAATAAAATGTGCAATATGTAAAAAAAAAAACAAAGAATTTAAAAAAGTAATTCTGTTACATCTATAATATAATAAAAATATTCGCGAAATAATATATTATATAAGTATATTAGTATAATAATATCAACCTTAATCTCGTAAAAAGTTTTTTGAATGGTAATCCTGTTATGTTGAATGAAAACCCCGACATTTACAACCGACGCAATTTTGTGTTAGTTAAAACGTTGCAAAAATTCTGTAAAACTTTCATGGGGATTTTTATTTCAACATTCTAAATTGAAGAAAAAATAGTTTTGATATTTTTTGCTTTTTTTAGTAAAGTAACTAAATAGTTTTTAAAATATCTCATTTTCAAAAATCGCTCGAACAACAAGTTCAGAGGTTTGCAAGATTAGGATTAATAAACGTTTGTATAATCCCACTCACATACACATGCGATACCGAGCGTGCTTCAAGTTTCATCGCAATTGTCAAAAGTGGAAATATATAAATCAGGTTTTAAATATAATCAATACTGCGCAACAAATTAACGGTAACGAATCGAGACAAATCGCAAAGATATCTTATAACGGGCAAAAAGGATGATCAACGATGTGATTGCTCGATGTGAATCGGTATGTTTGTCTGTCGTCGCACGTACGTACACGCGTACAGTCTGTGATTGCAAACGTTTGTGAATCAAGCTTCATTCTAACTGCGAACAGAGGCCGACATTGCGATCGCGATGCTTACTCTTGCGTAGCATATCGGAGGATATAAATAAACAGCCGCAAAGCTCGGCTCGTTTCCTGCACCTTTCGATTCGCTGAATGCGCGGGCACGTCGAACAGAGTCATTATGCATTTATCGTTGCAACTGCGCGCGCGCGGTGCATCGAACTGCTTAAAAAGAGAAATCTCCTGTCGCGCGAGAGAGGACCACATCGCGCACCACCCCAGTTAATCTTGTATTGAGTTTCTTTCACTATCTCCTTCTTAAGAGAAACACCGAATTAAAAAAAAAACAAAACAAAACAAAACAAAACAAAATACATCTTAAAAAAACGGAACGTTGTCTTCTCAAATTAGGTATCTAAAAAGTAATTATGAAACGACAATAAAACAGCTCGAAGCAACATCGATCGAGAATTCCGATCGACGTGTTGTTCCGATCTCACGCCTTCGATCTCTTACACACACTCCTCTATTACGATCGACGTGGCAATTAATCTCCGACGAAATACCGCTTTATCTTTAAGTATACCCGGATATCGCGCTTTCGTGATAGAATCGACACTTATTTCGACGATTCTTCCCCTCTTCCCCCTCATCTTACGTCTCTTCTTCTACTTTCTCACTCCTTCTCTCGTTCTGTCGATGTTCTCTTCCCTCCCGCCCCGTTCTCTCCCACATGTGGTCACAGGTTGCAGCGGTACACGGGCAGGTTTCGAAAGAAAATAAAAAAAACAATAAATAAGAAAAAAAAGAACGCGGTGAAAAAAAACCGATAGAGAGACAAGGAAGGAAGATACCGGACGAGAGACTGAGAAGCGAGAGAAAGAGAGGGGGAGGGTATGAACGGGATGAAGGAGAAGGTGGGGTACGTACACGGTTCCCGAACCCGCGAGCGAATTCTTCTCACGGTTCGCGAGAGAGCGCCGTTTCGCTGGCACGCGTGGGCGGACCGGCGAATAACGCCGGTCTTGTATTTTTAAACTCTCGCAGGCTCATCGGCGTCTCTGTCTCTTTTTTTCTCTCTCTCTCTCTCTTCTGACCTGGTCCAGTCCGGCTCGACCCGACATTTATTCAGAGTGGAACTTCGAAGAGAAACACACCGGGTCAGTTTTGGGCCCCCGCAAACTTCAGGCGGCAGCGGGAGCCGCGTATCTTTCTTCGTTGTGCTTTTTTATTTTCTTTTTTTTACTTCCTATTTATCCACCGAGCAGCAGCACGCTCGAAAACGGTCTCTCACGGTCCCCCATCACGATCTCCCATCACGGTGGATAAACGCAAAAGGAGTGAAGAGGAATCCGCCGAATGAATTATCGAAGCTTCCGAAGCGGGGCGGTCGACGACGGCAGAAGAAAAAGAAAGATGCGCGAGACATTCTAGCGTTGTTAAGTAATCGAATGAGCTTCGGAACAGAATCCGGTATCTGAGCGGGATCAATGACTCGATCTCGAAAAAAATTCGAAGACTCGAAGAAACGCATTATCAACAAATTATCGTGTAATCTCTTAATCTGGAGAAGAAACCTTCCTCGAGAATTCCTTGAGTTTTTTTTTCTTTTTTCAAACAGATTCTCGTTCGAATACCAACGCAGCAGAAAACGTTATTGGAAGTTGAGAAATTTAAAATATCGAAATATATATCTAGACCGAGAGAAGAGGAAATTGAAGCTCCTCGCCGCAATATGTAAGCGCGCGCGTTATGTTTTTACTGTACTAATTAAAGTAACAATGTAAGCACTACGATTTAACTCCAGATAATCTATAGCAGATCATCTGTGGCAAAGCAAAATGACGGATCTGCGCGATTCTCATTTTCTCTTGCCTTCTCCCGTCTGTTCTGTTGAAATAACGAGATCTCATCAGATCCGTGATTTTCCTCCAAGAGTCGGAAACTGTAATTTTCTAGTATTTCATCAATCGCGTTTCCCGCGTGCGCGCGCGCGTAGCGGCCTTCCCAAGTTAAAGCGTCGGTGGGTAATAACAGATAGAGCGATAGAGCGTGAGATGCTATTACTATTCGCATGACATATGACGTTGTAATCCGCCTTGAGCGCGCTTAATGGAAAGAGTTACGTTCCGCATCGACGAGATAAGTAGTTTTCATCCGACGTGTACGTTATAATTTCGCAGCAACGTGTGTAATGTGAGCAGGAAGCGCGATACGTCGAAGAAAAAAAAAAAAAGAAGGAACAAGCTTACGGAATCGAAATTGTGCTCGAGAGAGACGAAATTTCGTTCGCAAATGATCAACGCTTTTGATCGCACGCAAAACAATTTGTCGTAACATTAACAATAAGAGCGTTTCTGCACTTCGAGATAATTGAGAGATAAAATTACAATTGTTTTTTAAATTTATCAAGTAATAAATTATTGAAGATAATTTTGGAAAATTAATCACTGGATTAAATTTTATAAAAACAAATTTTTTTTTGCTTTTCCGAAATTATATTTAATAATTTAATTTTTAATTGAGCAAACTTTAATGAAGCAAAAGTAATACTAAATTTTTGGGACAATTTCTGCTACTTCACAAACAAAACAAAATGCGCATCTCTCTTTTCTAATTAAATATATGTAACACAAATTTTTAAATATAAATCAAAACAAAAGATCAAATGTAAATTAAAAATTACATAATAAGATAAGATCTCACCTCATCGAGAGCCATGGACAGAGCGCCGGAGATGGCAAGACCTTGACGGTCCTTCAGGCCACCCTTGATGGCTGTGAGATAACCGATGGTTAAATTCACTTTCTTTTGAACGGATGTGCCATTATTTCTCGTACTGTTACTGATTTGACTGTTTCGAGAGAATTGCGTTTGCTGGTTTTGAATCGTCATCAGGGATGTTGAACGTGGTGGCTCGGCTAGAATTTGGACCAGGAAGCTGCTGGCCAGTAGCAGCAGGGTGACCAGGAGGACGCGCGACTCGTTTGAGCGCGGTCGCGACAGCCAATGATGACAATAATGGTGATTCTGTTGTTGCTGCTGTCGGTCACACTCCCGATGGAACTGCTGCTGGTGCGGATGCTGGCGACGGGGAGGCCTGCGGCGGCTCGGCTGTTCTGGCGGGCCGGGGCGCATGGCCGCCGCCGCCACCGGTCAGCAGCGCCTCCCTCCCGCTCACCTAAAAAAATAAAAACAATTTACGGTTAAAAATAATTAAGAGTTGAAAATATATCAGGTCGTACAAAGAATTTTCCAGATTCGCTTTCAATTCAAGTAGTAAACGCTCTGTGTTCTAGTCGCGATATTTTAATTGTGCTAATGTGTCTTATGTCGAGTGTGTATTGAACGGTAGTCGTATCGTTAATGAGCGTTATAAATTTCCGTGGCTACAATATCGCGAAGTTCGTATATCACAGTTATGACAATAACACGTATCTTTCTACTCGAGTGCATTTATCACGCGAGGCCATGACTATTTATGTGATTCATTCGTATGCACCATCTGCGTTTCGCTTAATGTAATCGTGAGAATAAATATTAAAACATTCAAATGGCGATCCGATTTCAATTTTCGACGAAATGTATATTTTCTTCATGTTCAATCGTGATGTTTTCGTTCTTTATTACAAACACGTTCGCGCGCAGACTCTCATCGAAATTAAAAAAAACTTCGCTTTACGAGAGAAAGAGAGATTTAAAAAAAAATCTATTCGCACCCTGTGTGTTAACAGAGAAATCGCACGAAGAGAAATACGCGCCCGAACGCGTGTAAAACACACGTAGCGTGTGCAACACACGTATTTTAGAATATTGTATATATTAAATCAGGCGGATATCGCGAGTCTCGAAAGGAACTATACATCAATTGCGGCAGACATTTTACGACGTCGACATGTTCGGAATAAACGTTGTAATCACGCGCGAAACACAACCGCGCGCACCTTTTCTCTCGCTTCCGTTTCACATAATAAATCAAAGAAATTTATTTTCTTTATTCACTGAAGTAAAAAGCTAACTGCCGAACAATCGCGCTTGTCGTTGCTAAAAACTTCTTGCGCGCTTACAAATTGACTCTTTTCGATTCCTATCTCGTTATTGAGATCTCAATGTGGTCATTATAAATTTTTTTTTCTGTGTTGCCAATTGAGAAATTTGACGTTATTGTTAACGAAAAGACAAGTTGTAATTCAATTTCACACAACACATCTATTCACACGCAACGCGTGACCCAAATTCAAGTAAAAAAAAAAAAAAAAAAAACTTGTGAGAGGAAAAGTACAGAAGAAGAGTTATCTATAATCTCAACGTATTTGCTGTAACCGATAAGAAAACATCTGTACGTATAGAGATATACATACGTAGCGGGGATCCGCAACAACGCAACGTTGGTAGCGAAGATTTTGAAAATGTAAAAACACTGAAATTTCGGATATTTCGAAAGAAACTGTGTGAAATAATTAATAAAACTTCAGCTCTCTCTCTTTTTTTTTTGGTCATTGTTATTGCATTAATACAGTCTTGAATCACTGCAAAACGTACATTGACACGAAACTTGAATGTATATATGTGGTTGCGAGATAAAAAGAGAAAGAGAGAGAAATCCGATGCGATTATGCAACTTTCATGCGAGCTGGACTAGCCTGCAACGACTTCAACAACAATAAAGACATCCGGCTGTCATGACGCATGGTGTTATTCACCAGGGGAGGAAGCGCGCCTTTCGACTTCTGCGTCGCTTTAATTATTACGTCTAATTGTCAAGAGAATCACGCAATCCGGATTTCCACATGATATGCCAAAACAACAATGTGACAAATATTTTTCCTAAGTAAAACCAAAATTTTACACACGTTGTATCATTAATTTTACATACTTATATTATTTATTTTGCACATATCATTTCACACACATTAAAATAGAATCGTACTGTGCAAGATATAATTTGAAAAATGTCATTTTTTGTTTAGCGTTTATTCGTGCACAGAAGAAAATTAACTTACACGATTTATCAGCATATAATGTGTGCGCGCGCACATCCACACAAATATATATATATATATACATAAAAAACCAATCGTTAATAAGATATCGCTATTTAAGTAAGTGTGCTCATTACGAAATCAAAATTGATACAAGTATCAGAACGAACATTCCGATTTCTGTGCCCCACGAGAAAAAAGTGATTTATACATCTGTAACTTCGATTTTTTATTTCACGCCCGTCGCGAGTTGACAAAAGGGACGTTAAAAGGGACGGGGTCCCGTCGGCGTCACGCCACTCCGCTCGTACTTAACCCCTCGACGTGACCCGTCGTTACATCACCGCTCGTTCATCATACCTGCGTACGGTGGGCCGGCGTATACACGTCGTCCGGATGACGTACGAGTGGGCGCGCGTACGTCGTCCTTTCGCACAACGCGAATGCACTTTGCATCTTTCAATAGCGCGCGCATCCTTTCTTGTTGTCTACCGGGAAAAGCGATGTTTTCGCATGAAAAGTACGACTAATCAAACCCCAAGTCCCACCTGATTTTTTTTTCCCATGATGTTGATTAATTAATACGTAATCAAGATGCTTAGCGTCCAATTTACTTAGTGTGTGGAAAATGTCACGCGCGTGCACTTTCTCCGTTATAAAAGCATCTTTTTTTTACAGATTTTTCAATTATTTATTTGCACCATTTTCTGTACAAAACTATCTCTTATGAAATTATTTTTCAGAAAAAAAAAAACAGTGATGTACTTGAAAATTAGTTTGAATTCAATTATAAATTCAATTTTGTGTGTGTGTGTGTGTGTGTGTGTAATTTTATTTTGTATTTTTTATATTTCACGAAACAAACATCACGATATTTGCCGAGTTAACACAAGCTATAACGAACTTTTCTCTTTTTTTTCTCTCATTTAATTCCGGAGTTCGCGAACAGAGACAGAAATGTAATTTTTCGACGCGAGGATTAAAACACACACAAAAAAAAGGAAAATTTCCAACTGCGATGTGATTAACGCCCGTAATCGAGAGAGCACGGCGTGTAAACGGTGTCACGCCTATGTTTGCAAACGGGGAGATCGTATATCTTGAAACGATCGCATCAAAAACTTACGTAGGCGGACCCATATATATTCGTTTTAACACGATAATACCGACAACTAATACGAGACGCTCGTATACTACGAGCCAGAAATAGCCGCGGCATATCATATGGTATTCACAAGATGTAAAACGAACGTGTTTGGCGAAGGCCGCACGCTCGTTCATGCTTCCGCTTGTCACTTTTAATTTATAAGATTTATAATCAAGAACAGAAGAAAAGAAAGAGAGAGAAAGAGAGAGAGAACAAAATAAGATAAAAAGATTTTTGTAATGTTTTCGAAAATTCCTTTTATAGCATATTGTCGTCTATTATTAAAAGAGTTAACTCGTTGTGACAAAAATAAACTATAATGTAGTAACGCACACGCGTATACGCACTGACTAATACTTCTGCTGTAATTACTTGCAATAGTCCCGTAAAAAAAACAAGCATTCTTCAAACCGACTCAAAGTACAAAATACATGTTTATACAACGGTGTAAAACTTTTGTTTTTACAATTTTTCTAAAAACAATGTAAGTTTTTAATCAACGGGAAACACGAGTCACACGCGTGCGCGAGTTGTTTTTTGCCATTAGAGTTTTTTTTACTAATTGTAAGTTAAATCGTCTCCTTGGAAGACGAATAGGCAACAACAAATATGATACTTGTAGTATTAAAAAATACTACAAGTATCATTGTTCGCGTCAACATTCATACGCGACCTATTATTTGCCAACAATGTGTGTCCGTTATCTTTGCGCCAGAGTTCGAAGTTGGAATTATTTCCGACCGCTGAGGTAAGGTATCTATTGTGTGGTAAGTTAAACGAGTTAATAAAGTTGCTAGAACACGCGCAATAACATTTATTTGTCAAAGTTTACCGGCGATTTGTCACACAAGAGTCTATTTGAGCGCGCTTAAATATGCAAATCATTGGATCGCGATGACGATGATCGTCGTAAATTACTGTATCTCGCAGGAATATAAACGACGCGATTTCACAGCGAAAAAAAAAAGACAACTTTTCTCTTTCTCTTTCAAAGTCGAATCACATTTTTTTTTTTTTTTTTTATTAAACTACCGATCGAGATATTGACGCGCGCGCACGTTTTCCGAAATAAAAGTTCAATTCGGTATTGAAGGTGCCAAGTTCATACAAAGTTCCGGATCCGTGAATCAAACAATGTTTGCGACCTCGGAATATATTCGGGTTTCTAACGGTGTGTTTTGTACACGCGATATGTATGTACAAACATACGTGCTGAAGTGACCCGCGCGCGGGGTATGGATTACGTTACAAGGAAGTAATTGTAGAACGATACGCAGATCCGTAGTGGTACCTCCAAGATGCGCGCGCGTGAGCTTTGTTATTATCGCGACTGCTTTTTGCATGAGTGTGTTCCGTATACATATATATATATATATACATATGTATATATTATATATATAATCTCTCTCACGTTACTACCGTAAACGTATACGGGTGTGGCCACAATTGGTCACCACCGCGCGACACCTGGGCGTACGCGCTATTTATTTTACTTGCATTTGTCACGCCGGTTACGACGCGCGCGCGCACACAAACTTGACGGTGATCTCAAAGCATAGAACGCGTTCGAGATCAGTTTTCGAAATTATTAGCTTGGTTTCGCGCTATTTAAACTGTCCGAAAAATCGCGTCAATTGGTACTTCCACAGAGTCTGTCTCGAGTTGATAGCCGTAAATGTCAAATTTTGCGTGCAAGATCGTGCGATCTAATTTTCTGACGCCAGATATGGTCGATCTAATTTTCTGATAACTTTCGAGTTTCTTTACTATTACATTTCGCGTATTATTTTTCGCGTGTAACCGATACGCGTTTATAGAGTTTCTCTTTTGTATTGCATATATAATTCACATTTTTTTCTGCATATAATTATAAATATTTATTTAACTTTCTTATTGTTTATATTATTTTGCAACTGATGAAGACTCCAACGAAGCTCGAAACGTTTCGCGTTAATTAATACAAGATCTCTCAATTGTTTTTATGTGTAAATATATTTAACATTTCATTG